ACTTACTTCCTTTTTAAAATTAATAATATAATACTAATCAGTAAACTTATCCCTTATGAATGCTAATAATATCTTGTCAGAGGCCTTTTTAGCCTCAACTAAGATAGCATTTTTTTCTTTATTTTTCTCAAAATCTACTTTGTTTTCTACTCTTTTTCAATAACTTATTATTTTTTTTCTGAACTCTTTAGTTATATTTTCCTCTTCTAATGGTTCAAGATCGGTTTTTTTCTTGCCTTTTTGGGCTAATTTTTCTTCACAAAAGAAGTAGGTATTTTTAATGGCTAGTTCAAGCAATTGAACGTAAAAACCCTCCTCTCAATTGTTGGGTCCTTCTACAAACTGCTTTAAATTTTGGAGTCAGGCTTCCGCACCTTGTGGCTGTTCTTGATTGCTGGCAACAAGTAATAATTTTCTATCTTCATCATAGCAAACAGCAATGCAAATGTCATCTTTTTTCTCTTCTTTTTCTTCCTTATTTACTTGTTCTTTTTGCTTGCCTTTGCTTTCTTTTTTTGCTCCTACCCTTTCGACAAATAACCTTGCCAACGCATCTAGATATTTATTTTGTTTTCAGTTATATTATCATTTCTTCAAGGAAGGAAACTGGCTAGCGTATGTCGACCTCGCACCTTTTCTATTTCGGCTAAGGTGTCAAGAGCTTTTTTTAACTCATTATTTTCTTCTTTTGGCATTTGACTTTACTCTATTTATTTTGTTTTAGTAATATGAACTTGCTGATTAAAATTTCCTTCTTGTTGAACTCTTTCTAGTAACTTTTCATAATGTCTAACATAAGAAGAGCCATGCCCCCGCAAAATGTTTTTAATTTTTCCTTGGCTCGCTTCCCGAAGGTAGGGGTCTACTTTTTTTAATAACCACTCCATAATTTCTCAGTCTTCACCTTCATTAACCATTCCAGAAGCTGCACTATGAAGTATAGATCAGTTACAAATATTGTCCTTATTAATGTCCCCTTTTTTACTTCCATGCTTATTTTTCACTAAACATTTGAGGATTTTTAAATTATTTCCTTCGGCCGCAAAATGGAGGGGGGTATTACCTTCGCCATCTTGTGCGTTTGGGTCAGCACCATGTTGTAAAAGTTCAACAACCAGTTCGTAATTCTCTTGGCCAGCCACAATGTGCAATGGCGTGAAATCATTATGGTCTTTAGCATCAACCTCAACTGTTTTGCTTTGTAAAATTTCTTTTACTTTGAATATATTACTTTGTGCAACTGCGTAATGTAGAGGATAATTTTTTATATATGTTTCTTTTTTGTTAGCAGATTGCTCATTGTTGTTCTGTTTGGTGTTATCTTCATCTATTATTTGTTCTTGCTTGTTTTTACTAAATTGTTTCTTAAGAAAATTTTGCATAATTTTATAGTTTTGTTATATTACATTTTTACAAAAGTTAATCGCTCACCCACTCATTTTTTAGAAAAAAAACAACAAAGAATACAGAAAATAATTTGAGAGTATGAACGCAAGCAAAAATTAGGGTAATAATGATAAGTAGTGACAAAAACATGCTTATGTAATGATACCAACTTCTTAACTTCTTAACCAAGTAGACAGTTTTATCCAGCAAAACGGAAACAAAAACTATCACTGCTTATTTTTCTTAGGTTCGCAATCAGGTTTGCGAGTAAGTGAAGCCGAAAATTTCAACTTATTCTTAAAAAAGAATAAAAACCTTTACTTAATTCAAGATATTGCCGTCGGTAATTATTTCCTTTATGTTAGCGACTATGCTAACGAAATTAGCAAAGATGACTTTTTTTCCGCACGGTTTTAATTAATGTTTAATTAATAAGTAAGTGAGGATAAAAAAAAAAAAAACATAAAATTAGTAATAATAGTATAGACAACAAATAATATGAAAGTAATGTTAAAAGACCTCATAAAGATAAAAAAAGAGGTAAAAACAATAAAATTATCAACTCCACTAACTCTCGCTAAATCACTACATAATATTAGTCCAGACAGTTGAAATAAAATTGCAATTACTACTTCTTGGGAAGAAATTTGCAAAAAAATTGAAAAAAGTTCGCTCTTGTTAGAGCCAGTCGGCAAGTTCACCGAAACAGGAACTTTGGTTTGAAAATCAAGAGAGAATGAAATTTCTAAGGTCAATGATGAGTTATTAGAAGAATTTAAAGATTTTTCTTCTGAATATCGAAGACTTTCCATCATAAAAAAAGGTCAAACAAGTGCCATAGAAGTTAATGCCAAATATTTAGAAAAAGGTGATGTAATTCATTTCAAAGAAGACAGTTTTAGTTGGCTTGGTGTTGAAGAAAAAGGCACTTGAAAAAAAATATTCGACTCTTTCTGAGAAACCAAAAAATTTTTATTTTGAAATAAAAATAGGCTACAACCCCACAGCCAAGCGGCTCTGGAATTTCTCCAAAAAATTGTTGATACTGAACATAAAGAAATAACAATTAAATACCAACCGGACGAATATAATAGTGCCGAGTTTTTCAATGATAATATACCAGAAAGCACAATTGTAGAATATGAAGGGTCAAAATTAGAAAAGTATTGAAAAATTATCAACTCCTTACTTCCCGAAGCCAAATTCGCCGAAATTGCCGCCAGCCCCAAATTAGAAGAGAAAATCGGAGCCGAGGTAGAACAAGCATTTTTCGCGGTTTCGCCCGCCAGTTTAGACATCGATTTAAATAATTATCGTGGAGAAGGTGAGGGGTTGGTTAATACTGGTAAAATCTGAGAATGTTGCGAAGGATTAGCCAATTTTTCGGAACCCACAAATGAAGCGGAAACCGCCATCAAAAATACGGTTCGGCGGATTATAACTGACAACAAATTTAACCCCGATAATTTGAATAATTTGAATAATTTGAATAATTTGAATAATTTGAATAATTTGAATAATTTGAATAATTTGAATAAT